CAAGTAGGGACATAATTGCGTCCAATACTGAGTAGAAGGTTGCTAGGCTCCAGTTGTGGATTTCTGGAATGCCTTGGGTAAGATGAATCAGCTCCTCGATAAAGCGGATCGCCATTGTTAACAGATATCGAAGGGAAATGAACCCTAGATATGTTTTCAAAGTTTACACAAGTAAGAAGACCGCTCAGCTGAAAGAACGGGAAGTTCGGAATCGATGTAAGTACGGAAAGCGCGTTTCCCTGAAAAGGGTCTTTTCCCTTGGAAACGGCCTATCCTTTCCAGGGAAACCAGTAGGTGTTTCCGAGCTACCTAGTGAGCGGCTTCATCTAAGTTCATCAAATCGGTAAGTGTTGATTGTAACAAAGCTGAGCCAAGGGCTGCCTTAGCGGCGTTACATGGGTGGGTTCATTTCAGTTGAACAGAATGTGGCGTTCAAAGCCGCCAACCTTGAACGAAGAGATGCAGGCCAGCAAATAGAGTTTGTACCAGTGCTTCACTGATGCTGTGTGGCTGATTCGCGTTCATCCACGAAGAAGGCTGAAGGCCAGCCGCCTCAAAGATAAGGAGGCGGCTGACAACCTAAACGAAGCAAGCTTTCAGCCCTATTAATCAGGATATAGTTTATAAACGGCAATGCGCTTCTGAGAAACCAAAGATGTTGTAGCTTGGTGCAATGCCCGTGGACACTTGAAGTCTGTGTCAGGCCAGCACTGCCCTGACCCCGGTATACAACAGCGCTCCGAACATGTGTAGAATTTAAATTCCTAACAATAACAGGACGTTATGTGCGCAAAGACGATTTCAGTAAGTTCCTGGATTTCGGAACGACTGTTGTACAGATCCTTCATGTTCAGTTCCGGTGTATTCTTACAAACATTCTTTGACAACCATATCAGTTTCATAGGATCATATTCGCAATCAGACCTGCGTATTTCTTAATGAGATTATCATCACTGTGTAGCTATCGCGCTAACACACACACACACACACACACACACACACACCGACACACACACCAGCTCTTCCCCACATCCCCCCGCGGGATACAGTACCTACCAGCCATCTCTACCCTCCTCCTCCATGTCCCTCTCCGTACAGTTACACTCCGTACCCAAACACCTGCCGTATGCGCTGCAGCACCTGTGACTGCCAGCCCCTTTCCGTCACATCTTGGGTATCCTCATTCCCGAACTTGTCGTGCGGGGGCACTCCCGTCTGCATGAGCTTCAACACGGTGTTGCCGTACTCTGGCTCAGAGATTTCAACAACCACCTGGAGGGTTGAAGGGGTAGAGGTTGAGGGTTTTATAACGTGCCCGTTATTTGGCGACAATGCTAAAACACGGAAGGGGGTGTATGCGATGTAAGAAGGGGCCTGCGGGTGGTGATGGACGCGGGGGGTTCGGCTTTGGAAGGGGGCCGTCCGGAAGGATAAAACAATGGTGATGACGATAATGATGATGGTGATTATGGTGATGCTGTGGTGGTGGTGGTGGCGATATATGATGATAATGATGATGGTAACAGTGATACAAAATACCGAGATCATCAGCTGTCGATGCCCAAAGACGTGGACGGATATGAATGAAGTAGGTGCAACCCCTGTAGGTGCAACAACGCTCCTAACGGCCAGACATTCATGCAGCTGCCTTAGCGGCCGCCGGCCTACTCCGGCCGCGGCCCCCAACCTACACACACACACACACACACACACCACATACCTTGGAGTAGCAGCCCTCCTCCCAGGTATTGAACCTCCACTTCATGACTATGCGGTGCGGGGCCGACAGCTCCAAGAACTCCCCCGTGATGGATCCGCCGTACCAGGAGAAGCTGCCCCCCGGGGCAGTGGGCTGTACGATGGCTGTGCTCTGAGAGAAGGCACGAACCCGGCCCTCGACCTGCCAGTGCGGGAAAGCGGGGGGCGGGGGGACGGGAGTGCGGGGTGACTGAAGGTGGTGGCCCTCACTTCAAACACTCGGACCACACAGACCACCCCTCCTGGACTCCACATCCTGCCCCCCTCCCCGCCTCCAGCAGCAATCCATAAGCGCCACACCACCCCATCCCACCCCCACCCCACCCACCCCAACACACGTCCATCCACCTCACCCACCGTAAAGCACTCATAGATGTCCGCCGGCCGGCAGTGGAACTTGGCTGTGAGGCTGATGGACCGACCGGAGCTGCTGCTACTGTGGGCCGTGGCGGGGGCCTTGGCGGCCGCCGCCCGGGCCTTATCCGCGTCCGCACTGCTGAGCTTCGGCTTGCTGGCGGCGCCGTTGGCGGCCCCTGAACCGTTAGCTGCCCCGGCGGCGCTGTCGTCACCTTGACCGTTGACGCCGCCGTCGGAGCCGATGGGGGCGGCGGCCTCTGCCAGCGCAGGTCCGCCCGATCGCAGCTCTGCCACGAACTTATGTACGGCAGCCAGCAGCGGCCTCTTGCCGTGCGAGTGTACGGCAGCCTTGAGGCGTTCGGCCTCTGAGGTGTTGGTGTCGCAAACGATCCGGATTTCTGGGTCTTCATCGTGATTGTCGTCTTGGGAGGAAGAGGGGTTTTGGGGGGGTGGGGGGAAGGGAGGGGATGGAGGAGGGGAGGGTTTGGAGCGGTCAACCAGGGGGGTAAGACAAGCCACGGACAAGTGAAGCAAATACCAGAGATCGACGGGCGCTCAATTATTATTATGGTGGGAGAGGGTGTTCCTGCACGGCTAGCTCAGGAGGTTGTAGCCCCCGTCGGGAGCTGCTGCTTGGAAACCCCTCGTCGTCCGTTAACCCCCGCTCTTCCTCCCTCTCCTTCTCCTTCTCCTCCTCATCATCACCATCATCATCATCGTCCTCCCCCTCCTCCTCCCGGTCCTCCCCGCCCTCCTCAGTTGGCGACCTTTAGCTTGCAACAAATCGGAACACTGACTTCTCGGATATGCACGGAGTTAGACCCCGTTGGCTGCGACCACGAACTGCCGCCGCAACCATGAAGTGCCGTGCCGTGCTGTGTTGGGGCTTTGTCCGTGCCGTACCTCCTATGTGAGGCAGATGGAGCTTGCCCGTCGCGGTGCCTACCACCTGCCCGTTGCCGTTCGTTAGCTCTCCTGTCCAGCCCACCCGAACCTCAAGATCATAGGATGGAATGAGCTTGTTTTTGCGAATGTTGAGGAATGCATCTCCGGACATGGACTCCAGGGTGGTCGTACGCACGGCTGCGGGGCTCTGGGTTAGCTGGATGCCCGCCAGCACCTCGCTCAAACGCTGCTTGGCCTGTAGGGGGTGATGGAGGACACGATGGGGTGGGAAGGGCGCTGGGTGAGCTTGAAGGGTGAGCTGGAGCTGTCATGTCCGTGTCTAATGGTTGATGTATGCACCGAGGCGGCGGTGCGCGTGAAAGTAATGCTCAGACCTACCCAATCTGTGCAGTCACGCTCAGTCCAATGCCAGTTGTTCACGTTGCGGCCTGCATCGCCCATATCCTTCACCAGCCATCGGGGATCGGCTTCCTCAAAGCGTGCCATTACGGTTAGGATATCTGACGTTGATCTAAACGTAAACTTGGGTACTATAGGAGTAAGAGTATAAACTTAGCGCATCAGGATGAGTAATTTGCCGTTGCTTGCAAGGTTCCAGAAAGGAGTAGAATGATGTACAGCCTGCAATGTATCCGCGAAAACGTAAGCTTAATTTAAAAAAGTTTGAGACTTTGGTATTACAAATGCAAAGAGCCTTAAATCATAGGTTTAGATTCGCTTCTATCTTATTCATTTGACCGCGACATCTTTCTACATTTCATTTCCCCCTTCGACATTGCGCTGTCAAGCAGTCAGGAGCCGCCATTGCTACGCTAACTAATTTATAATCCAAGTTACTGAACACGCAAGAGCTGGGTTCCTTTATGCTGCATGTCTCCACACAAGCTTACAGAAAGCGCCACATAAGTACGCGAAACGTGTTTACATGGTTATAAGAATAATTAAGCACGTGCGGGCACCGAACAGTGCGCTACAGTGTTGGTTGGCAAACAATTTGAGTTCGCCTCACACATCTAGAAACAACCCACCTGCATGCCCTCAGCGCCAAGCAGCCCACTGTGCGCTAACCATATAACTCGCCAGCTCCACCTCAAACCTAAAGATCTACTACAAGTGGTCGTGGCCACCATTATAGCAACTTACCGCTGCAAATCAACTATGAGTGCCTACGGCTATATCCTTAACCCACCATCGCCATAGGGGAGGGAACCTATAGCCACAACCACCAAAGCCATACGCTACCACTGCACAACCGCCCCTTTACCCTAGTCACACACCCACCGGCGACTGGCCACCCCAACCTAACCCCTTAACTCCCATAGCCCGCGCGCGGGGCTGCCCCCAGCTAAAGGCTACCCCAGGCATCTACGCCCGCCAAGGAAGCCACCGCGGCAGCAAACACAACGGCTTGCAACCACCGCCACCGCAACTGCGGCTAACACACCAATACACCAACCTTAGGGGAGGACAACTATTTCCGAAAGAGAACTGCCACAACTTCTAACAGAAAAATAATATAATAACAATATTCTCACTAGCTTTACGTAGGTAAGTAGGTAGGTATATATGTAGGCAGGCAGACGGACAGACAGACAAACAAGGAAGCAAAAGGAAGCATGCATAAGGTCCAACACCATCCAGGATCAGAGCACCACTACAACCCTATTCAATAACCCGCCGATGAGATGATGGCGACCACAGCCAACAGGCCCCCAAAAAAGATTGCATACCCAGAAAAATTCTGCCCGCAGGAAAAAAGGACAACAGCCATTTTGGCCCCTTCCCGGTTAGGGCTGGATAGGGTGCCGTGCAGGTGCGTGTGAAGCCACCCGCCTCCGAAACCACCCGCTCATCATCTGGAGCCCCAGCAACCCCCACCCCAGCCCCTCTGCCTCCCTATCCCCCTTCCACCTCGCCGCAAACCGCCGCAAACCCAAGGGGCCCTTGAAGCGGTAGAAAGCAGCCGCCGCAGCAGCAACCCCCGCCACCACCACACACAACCAACCACTCACCCTCCTCACCATGCATAACAGCCCACCTCACCACCTGCACTTCACCCCATTCCCATTCTGCCGCCCCCAACCCGCCGGACTCCACTCCCCTGACCTCCTCCCTCCTTCTCCCCCCCCATCACCACTTCCTTGCCCGCAACCCCACCGCCCGCTGCCTCTGCCTCTGCCCCTGCCGCCGATGGTGGCGTTACAGGCACATGCACCACCGGCACCGCTAACCTCGTCGCGGGGTCCACTGCCAAACCCCGCAACCCCCCTGCCCCCTTACCTCCCCCAGCCCCTAGCCCTAACCTCTCCTCATCGCCGTCATCGTCATCATCATCATCGTCGTCCTGCTCTTCGCTGGCGACGTCATGCTGGGCAACCTCCAGCACCGGCAGGGCGTTGAGGAGCGTGTACGGCGCGTACCTCCGCCGGCAGCACAGCCGCCACACCACCACGCTGCCGAACCCGCCAAGCAGCAGCGCCATCTGGGCCCCGAGCAACGCGTAAACGATGTCCATGCCGACGTTGCGAGCGCGCTGGGCACGACACGTCTGAACCACGTCCACGCAGTACTGGAAGCTGCGGCTGCTGCTGCCGCCGCCGCCGCCGCGGATGGCTACTGCTCCTGGCTGTCCCTCCGCTGCACGCCGCCGCTGCTGCCGCCGCCACCGCACCGGCAGTAGCAAAAGCAGGCTGTCACTCATGCCGCCGCTGCCATCGGCAGAAGCGGCGGCGGCGGCTTGGTCCGAGGGGTCGAAGGAGCGGTTTGCCGGTGGTGCCGGCGGCAGCGGCAGCGGCGGTGCCGCCGGTGCGCCGGCCAGTAAGTCAACGGCGGTGAGGCAACACCGATGGCCGCTGCACGCATCCACATAGACGACCCCGTCGTGGATGTCGTACGGTAGACTTCCGCCTCCTGGCGGCGAGCCGTACGATGGCGGCAGGGCCTCGTCCACGCGCAGACTGCCGTCCTCCAGGTTAATGCCGTACAGGTGCGAATCCTCGGGCGGGGTCGCGGAGCTGCGCACTATGACGATGCCGTACTGCTCGTCCAAGAAGTCCCATGCCTGGGGAGGGGGCCCCACATCACACCGCCACAAAGCGTTTCAACACATCTTTCAGTCCCCTACCAGCCTCTTCTTTCCTCTCCTCCCCGCGCACCTATGCTACCCCTTCCCACAAATCCCTGGATACGTGGCTTTAGAGCTACGGCTGGGCCCCGGCTGGGTGAGTACGTGTCTTTCCGGCAATCGCCGGCCGTTTCGTGTCGCTGGGGGCTGCTGCGGTGAGTGAGTATGTGATAAGGTGGATACGTGATAAGATGTGCCGGGAGGGGACTACCACCACCACCACCACCGGCAGGGTGTCCATTCCCGTGTCCCCACCCGCGCCCTCCCTTGAGTGGTATGCGAGTCTCCTCCCCCGTCCCCCTTACCCCGGGAGGACACACATACACATACAGACACACCAACAGGCCCCGTCCCCAAGTTCTCCCCTCTGCCCGACCAAACCCCACCCCACCCACTCCACCTGCAGCTTCTGACCCACGGGGAGAACAAACGTCCAGCGCCTGCCAGCAAAAGGACAAACCACACGTCCGCACGTGTACGGCATTGAGCAAGAAAGGACGAGCATGGCGGCGACCGGCTCCGGGGCCGTCGAACCGCTCCGGAAGTGACCCCCGGGGTGGCGGGGTGGCGGGGCGGGTGAAGGAGGGATGCAGAGAACATCGCCATGCAATGCCGCCAACGTAGCAGCCGCACGTCATTTATTGTTTGCCCCCCCCCCGCTAACCACCACTACCACAGACAGACTCATAGGCCACAGCCTATACGAACTGCGGGCAGTTGCGTCGGTTACAAAGCTTTGAAGGGACTCCCCGGCAGCAGCAGCAGCCGCAGCCGCCCCCCAACCTCACCTCCTGCCGCCAGACCTCTCCAGGCAGTGCACGGCGCCCTCAGTCGCCAGCAGCACCGCCTCACCCGCTACCAGCGGCCACAGGGCCTCCACCGAGCCGGAACCCACAGGGAAGCCGGTGCTGCTGTCGCCGGCTAGTCGGGACCGCCAGACCTCCTCCCCGTTCTCAGAGGACAACGCGAAGGCGCACAGCTTGGCGGGGGCACGGCCGCGGACCAGGAGGCTCAAGTCGCCTGCAGCGGCGGCGCCGCCGTGTAACGCCAGCTGGCGGCGCCGCCGGTGGTGTCGCTCTTGCGCCGCCGCGGTATGATCCGGCGCCTTGCCAGGAACCCACGCAAACGTGTTGTCCTCCCCCCCCTGGGTGCCCTCCTCCCTGAAAGCTTGCTCGTAGAGGTTTTGATCGCGGTTGTTCTTGTTGACGTCATTGTGGGAAAGGGCATTGTCGTCGTCGTCCTCGTCGTTGCAGGGGCAACCGAAGAACAGTCGCCGGTGCGCCACCGCTGCCCCCGTGCACGCCAGTTGAGGGTCGGTGCTGCTGTCCTGCCCACGCCATTGCACCTGGCCGCTCGCAAGGTCCACCGCCGTCAGCTCACTCACAGAGAATGCCGTCGATGCAATCAACGCCGTACGCTCGTCCAATTGCAGTACAGTGCAGCCCCGGCTGCAGCTCTTGGTCCATAACATGGCGCCCGTCGCGGCGTTGATGCCGTACAAGGATTGTACGAGATCCGCGTCAGTTTCGCCGCGTACGACGAGGAAAGACTCCGTGGAGAGGGCCAGGGAGGGCGGTCCGTCGGATAGGGGCCCTGTTGCCCAGAGTATGGTTCCGTTGACCAGGTCAACGGCAACCATGCGCCCGGCGGGGCCGCCCTCTTCCTCCGTGAAAGGGGACTCCAGAGAAATGAGCACCAGGGAGGGGAGCTGCTCGGGCAGCATGACACCGGTGACGTTGGAGTTGGTTTCCAGTTCCAAATGCCACACGAGCTGACCCAGATCCTCCGAAACCGCGTAAATGTGGTTTCCAGGGTCGTGTGTTGCGACAAGCACGAGGGAAGGCTGCGATGGTGGATTGGCGCGGGCATGGCGACCGATGGTGGATGGGGATGCGGTGAGGTTTGTCCGCAGGGAGAGGCGAGATGCATGTGGGATGGGAAGAGCTGCATTGCTGGATGCTGTGGAAGGAGGCTTAGACTCGAGCGGCTCGATGAAACTGGTTTGAGCGGGGAGATGCAGCTGGTCGCTGCGACTGAAAATGCCAGCCGGCCGAGGAAACTGCCACTTGCGCTTCCCGGTGCTAAGAGAAATCGCCGACAGAGAATGCCCGCGTCTGGCGATAGAGTAAATCTGTCGCACGCCTGCCTGTCGACTAATGGAACCTGTGTCGACTCCATGCCAGAGCAGGGAACCACCTGTTCGGTTGAACACGGTTATGGTAGTGCAAGCGTCGCCGTTGTTATGAACTGTCGGAGCATCGGATACCATCCACAAAAGGCGCTGACCACCTGTTCCGACAATGTCGGTCAAGTGGCCCACATTCTGTTCCTGCGCAGTTGTCTCTGGAACCAGGACAGCCGTGCACAGCAGGAGCACCAGTGTAAACGAGCGTGCCATGGGCTTTACTCATGCATGCAGTGCGTCAAGTTCACGTGTAGCATCGTTATACCATCAGTTATGTCTTTCCCACAGCAGGTTAAAAGTCCGTTTATATAACAAGTGTACAGTCGCTTACAGTAATCCTTGATGAAGTGTGTAGCAGTCCGTAAGGAATCCAGCTACAAGTGAGTTGGTTGTGTCGGTGGCGAATCTTGCCCATCTGACGTACATGTCCGTGCTTATTGTCACTCTTTCTTTTGCACTAGCCACGCCCTCTTGCGCTAACCGTCTACTGCTGAGATACATTTTCTTTCACGGCATTGCATTTAAATTGAATTCCATTCTTGTCAAGGCGTTCATCTGCCAAAAGTTGGTTGACCAAGAACAGTTCTGCCATGGGCATCCCTCCTGCTCGCTTCTAGAGCAAAGCAACGTGCATCAGTCAAGTCAAGTGCACCTATTACATCAATCAGCGAAGGATTGATAGAAAGATAAATCGAGGCCCTCCAAACGTCACGTTGCAACTGGGCTGCTTCCATCCATCGGCACTCATCATAACAACAACGCCACAAAAATTGCTCACGCTCAAGTCGTTTCGGCCCGCATGCCACTGGGCCAGCATAATACCCTGGCGCATAAAAAAATTATGGCGTAAATGAAATCCGCAATCCTTCCCTGCCTCCCTCTCGGCCTCTCAACCCCCTTTCCCCCGGCAGTCGCAGTCTCCCCCACATCCCGGGGGCCCCGGTTCCTCTCCTTCGCCGGCTAGCGAGACCCTGACCTCGCCGGCACGGACCGCGGCCCCTTCGCCCCGCCAGCCGCCACCGTCACCGGCGCCGTCGTCGCCTTCCGCGTCACCGCCGCCAAGATGAGAGCCCACAGCCAGACCAGTCCACCCCACAAGCGAGCTAGCGCCTGCCCTCCAATCGCTCCGGAACCACCTCCGCTACCACCTCCGCTACCACCCGCCTTCCCGCCGCCCGATGTCCCGACGGCGGACATCACGGAAGAACCATTTGTCGTCACACCCTTCCGCTGCTGCAGCTGCTGCTTTTGATGATGTTGTTGCTGTCGTTGTGAAGAGCCACCGTTCGCCGTACCTGCAGTTGGCGACGAGGGCGCCGACGGTCCCGTAGTTGGCTGCTGCTGCTGTTCTTGTTGACTGTTGCTCTCGTTGGGTTCGGAGGCGGCGGAGGGACCTCCTGCAGCTGCTGCTGCTGCTGCCCCTCCGCCGGCTGTCTTCCCTCCCAGCAGGCCCTGGAAGAGGGCGGCCTGGGCGAGCTTCTCCTTCTTGATGGTGGCCTTGAGCTCCTGCATCTCGACTAGGATGGACCGATCCGAGGGGTCGCTGAGGTGGGATTAGGCCGGGGGAAAAGCGGGGGAAAGGGGGGGTAAGGAAGCATGCTAGTGTGTGGATGTCTGTCTGTCTGTCTGTACTTATATGTATGTATGTATATTGCATGCGTGTGCATGCGCGTATGATTTGTGGATGTATGTACGCGTGTGCCTATTTGTGTGAGGGGGAGAGAGCGGGAAGGGGAGATGTTACGGGGTGGAGGGGCGTGTTCGGAACGGAAGGAGTTCGGCAACCCCACCGAACTCCGCGAAAGACATACACACATATACACATGCATACCCACATTTTGAGAGCCGCCTCTAGATCTTCTCTTGCCTCCTCCGTACGGCCCAGTGCGTGGCGGGCCTTACCCCTGCGGTACAGCGCCTTCACATTGTGGGGGTCCATATTGAGGACCTGCAGAGAAGAGGGGGAAGGGGAGGGGAGGGAAGGGGTTACCGAATATACATACATACAGACAGACACCTTTCCTCATCCATCACCCAAACGGTACGGACAACACCCAGTAAAGGCAGATTCACGACAGTACGGACAATTACTATGTACGAGCAGCATCACGTCGTACAGCGGGTTTTCCAGCGACGCCACTCCCGGGCGCCACCTCCTAGGCCGGGCTTACCTGCCCGCAGTTGTAAATGGCGGTGTTGTAGTCGCCGGTCTTCAGCTGGGCAGCAGCCATGTTCAGATGCACCCGCAGCTTCACAGCCTCGGCCTTGTCCAGGTAGTGGCCCTCTAGTTGGTACATGAAGTCCTCGTCCAAGTACGATAGAGCCTGGATAGATGGCCGTACGTCGTACGACAAGCATAAACATGTAGAACATCAAACATGGTCAAAAGGGTTTATTTTTCGATGACACATGTACGGTGTTCCTTAGATTCCTTTCTTAGCCACAACATGATGGTGATCATTTGGCTGGCGGCCAACCAAGGTTAACTTGCGGTTCCAGGCGCACCTCGTGCCGCTGGTGCCGTCAGGGCAATGCTCCCTAGAAAGGGAATTACCACCAGCTGCGACAACACGCCATCCGTGCTCCCCCCCCACACACATAAACAGATACATACATACACACAGACGAGCCCCTCCTACCAGTGCGTATTTGGCCAGTGCCTCCTTAAATTTGGCTCCCTTGAACAGCTGGTTGCCCAAATCCATTCGCCGCTCAGCCCGCTCCAGGCGCTCTTCGAACAGCAAGCTGCCGCGATCGCGATCATTGTCGGTCTGCGGCGGGGGGTTGTGGTGTGTGTTTGTGTTGGTATGTTGGGGGAAAGACGAACCACGAACGAGTGAAGCTGTGTTGGGGGGGGGGGGAGAAACAGCAAGCAGGGGGCGGGGGGAGCTGTCGTGCATGCACATACATACATACATACATACATACATACATACATACATACATACATACATACATACATACATACATACATACATACATACATACATACACCTGCGTGCATGCTCTCACCTCCTCTATTCCCTCCCAGTTGATCATGTGCACCTCGTACACCAGTTGGGAGTTGGGCGGTACACAAGGGAAACTGAAACTGCCCTGGGCCCCGTAGCCGTACACTGGATTCTGGATGTACACCAGCGCCTTCTCCCCCCTGCTCATGGAGCCGGCGGCTAGACACAACCCCGTCTCCTGAGCAGCGGCGGCTGGTAGGGGGGCAGGGGGGCGGGAAAACGTGTGGGAGGGGGGGATTCGATTGAAGGTGAAGGTGGGTTTGCGGGAGGAAGGGTTTTAGATGATGAAGGTGCGGCAGCACATGAAACATCATTTTAACACAATGATGATGGTGATGATGGTGAGGAGGAGGATATGATAATGGTGATGGCGGTGGTGGTGAGGAGGCGGACACACATGTGCAGTGGGGCAGTTCGTACTCGTGCTACTCGTAGTACTTGTGGTGCCCGCGGTCAAGACACACATATATACAAACTCACACAGATTTTTCACACACGACCATTAAGAAAACGCACATGAACACAGCTTCTTCCCCCCCCTTCCCTCCCTCCGTCCCCAGCTCCAGCCGCCGCCAGGACCCCACTACACGGTTCAGCCCCTCCCCTCCCTCCCCCCCCCCGCGGTACTCACTCCTCCCCGCCACCACCACCGCGGGCTCCTCCGTCTCCCGGTCCCGCCGAGTGTCCATGAACACCTCCCCGCTGCTGGCCAGGTAGCCCACGTAGTGAACTGGACGGGGCCCAAGGGGGACGGCAGGGGAGGGGAAAGTTGAGCAGGAAAACCGTGGCAAGAGGGGTAACCAGGACCGAGCGGGGAACTGTACCGCGGAGTGTGTGGGGTCCTGGGGCTGTGCGATTTTGCCGTGTGACGTGGATTTGAGGAACATGGTAGTAGACCAGAGCAGGGCCAGGGAGAGGGAAGGGGAGTGGGGAGAAAAGAATGCCGGACCTAGGAGGTACGACGAGCCCGTTTGCCGCAGAGGTTAGGGGGTGGGTGGGTGTGTAGGTGGGTGGGTGGGAATCGACCTGTTTTGCGAATCTGCAGTGTATAAGTTTCAATTCGTGGACGTGAAGCGGGGGCTCACCCAGGCAGCGTGCATGCATCGATGGCTTCTCATCAGTATCTCCGGGCTCAAGAATCTTCTTGAGCACCCCTCCATCCTTAGTAATAGCGACGCAGTCCTCAGGTGGCGTGAGGGATACATGTGGTGGCACGCGCTCCAACGCCGATGGTTCGTTCGATTCTCCTACAAGTCCAGGCCCGGCTCCAGGAAGATCACAGGGATTTGATGCTACAGGTATACCCGCACTTTCCTCAGCATGATTGGCTGTGGCTACTTCCTCAGCTTCGACCATATCTCCTTTGTCAGTTGGTAATTGTACAATCTGCAGTCAATATGCCTTGACGCTGGTGAACGTTGATATCAATGTAATATCCAAGCAAAGTGATGTAAGAATGCAAATTGCAAAAGGAATTATCAGGATTGCCAAAATGTTAGTAGTACCGCAATCTGCTGGCAAAGCTTTCAAGGTTAAGCTGCATGTTAGGACATTTCAGCGAAGAAACAATTACCTACATAACCTTTAACAGATTCCCCGTCGGAATTAGGGCTCGGTTACGTTCAGAAGCTTCTGTACGATTTCAGTTTTTTTCCGGATCACCAGGCGCTCGAGACTTGAGGACAAGGCCAACGGCTACTTCACCCAAACCAAACCAACTGCAAGCATCGTGCGCTGCTCTCTGCACCACCTCCCTTACAGATTGCTGAGCAATCCAAGGTGCTCGTGTCTTGAGAAGGGGGAACTGCGAAGGGAACTGCGTGCCCTCCTACATCTGCGCCTCGTGAAGATACTTGCCTTACCAACCGTGTCGCAAAGATGAAAAGCAAGCAACGACGCAAACTATGCGCATGTGCATCAACAACACTGTGTTACGTTACTTAGGCCTTGGGTGCCCAGCAACGCAGCCCAACAACCGCTATACAACACAGCTGCAACAGCCATCGGTAATTTCCCACAGAATGCTAATGTCCGAGTGACAATTCCCGAGCCTCCAGAAACGAGTTCTCTCATCCCTCACACTGCTACCTACACCACTTCGACCCCACAGCTCAACCCCACACCTCACCCCACCCCACCCCAATCGGCCTTTCAACATCAGGCAGGTGGAACTGCCAGTCTGCCGCATTCTGGCCCAGGAGCTTGGAGGAGGCTTGTTAGCTGAAATAACGCGAGGAGACCGGGGGGGGTCCCCCAACCCCCCATACACACATACACACATATTGACATCTTGAACGGCAGAGTGGGAAGAGAGCCCTATCTCAATTTTGCCTCGAAGACTGCCGTGTTGATCGTGAGGGGGGCTGCCGCAGGTGCACAACGGGTCCTCGAACCAACTGGAGCATTTCACAGCAGCACTGCACAACGAAAAGCAGCAACAAAGCAGCTAATGTGGCTCGAAAGCTTCATTTCCTCTTTGCCCTCACTCTTCTTTTCATTCGGCGTCGTCGTCCTCATAGTCCTCTTCTTCTTCCTCCTCCTCCTCCTCCTCCTCCGCCTCCATGCGACTCTTCAAAGACCTGGAGGGAGCTCCCTTCCCAGCCGCCGCCGCCGCCACAGCGCCGCCACTACGTCCTACGCGCTGCCGTACATCGTCCGCTCGCAGATCCTCCTCGTCCGTCAGGTCCGCCAGCTCATCCTCGTCCTCCTCGTCGTCGTACGAATCTTCACCCTCGTCATCTTCATCCTCATCGTCGTCCCCATCCTCGGTCCCCTCCATATCTTCCATTTCCACTTGCCGACTGCCGCTGGGTCCGGCGCCACTACTGCCGCCCGGAAGACTCGAACCCGCGACTTCGCGCAATGACACACAAGCAAAAGGAAAAGCCCAGGGACCAAAATTACATTTGACAGGCAGCGACCGGGTAGTACCCCAACCCCCCCGGCCCCGGACTCCCCCCCCCTCGCACATACCGCAGGGACGGTCCACATCCCCCCTTCTGCGCACACATACACTGCTTGTTCGTCGCCCTGCCCACTGGCTGCATGGCCAAACTGTACGGATCCGTACAGCAGTCACAGGACGGGCACCACGTCCCCACACCCGAACCCTCACCCCCCCTATACCTCCATGAACGCCCCTCCCCCACCTGCTCCCGACAGCTCACTTCTAGGTCGTTTGGAGGGACGTTTCCTGTGCGTGGTGGGGTGGGGTGGGTGGGGTGTGGGGCGGGCTGGTGGGGGCAGGTGGCCGGGAGCGCGTGGTGGCGTAATGTGCAGCGTGCGTGTACATATGCATGTATACATGTATGTATGTACGTGTGGGACAGGGGGGCATATCTTCACCCGTGGACGCTACCCTGCGAAATCCTGCCTTCCCCGGTATTTCGGGGCACCCCCATCCAGTCACCCCAGCCAACTTCTCAGTGGATCGCTCAGGTTCCGCACCCACCACCAGCATCGAACGGAATCTGCCGGGTCGACAGCGGCCCAACTCCATTCCTGGTCGGCTCGCGAGTCAACTTTATCCCAGGTCACCACCGTCCATCGGAACTTTACCTTCCACCATCGGAAGGCTATTCGACCTTGACAGGTCTCGATCCCGGGATCTCCCGGGGGCAATGGTCCGTGCCTTACCAGTAGTGCCTGATCTAAGCATAATATATATGCATGCATGCATGTGTTTGTGTGTATGTAATGTGTGTGTTTCAACTTACCCACTGGGCCCGCCAGTGGGAGGTAGATGGCGGGAATGGCCCCTAATGACAACGGTTAAAAACATTTTTCTTATTTTATGACTGCAACAGTATATAACAACTCTCGGAAACCCACACACCTGGCGCGGCGCGGCGATGTCTCCCCACTCGCCCACTTTCCCTCCCGCACCCCCTCCCCTCCAACCTCCCCACCCCCCACCCCC